GGGGGGGGGGGGGGACGGGACTCAGAGCTCCCTTCTTGTACCACTAAGTGACCTCTGACTCTGGAAGGCTTCCGCTGGAATGAATTCTCTCGGTCTTTAGGGATTTTGTTTAATCCTTATTGGTTAAATCACAAATATTCTGGCACCTTAAAGGCCAAGAGGGCTTATCGGGGCTGTAGGTTTTGTGGACCAGAGCGCCCCCCCCCGCCCACTCTCCCGGGATAGTCTGACCCAGGAACGGGTCTGTTGCAAGAAAACTGCGGTGTCTTTGAGAGACTCCCTCTGAAACGGATCCGCTCAAGCAGGCAGATTTCCTCCCAAGGAGCAGGCGTCTTTTTAATTTCATGGATGCTGTCACTGTCTGCAGTGATCTTGGATCCCAGGAACGTGAAGGCTGTCACTATTTCCATGACTTCCCCTTCTGTTTTCCAAGGAGTGATGGGGCCAGATGCCATAATCTTCATTTTTTAAATGTTGAGTTCTTTTTTAACTGCCCCAAAGGGCAGGTTTTTATTGATTTTCCAACATATTACAAACATATAACAACAAACATAACAGACATACAAACATACAAACAATACATTCATTGGGTTGATATAATTAATATATTTCTTGTACCTAAATACAATCCATGTTTTCTACTTTTGGTTAATGTGAGTAAATATCATTAAATTTCTACCTTGTTGGGTTAAATAGTGTTGGGTGTTACAAGTTAAAACACTTCTTCAGTATTTACTGGGTTAATGAGGTTTGTTAAATCACATGTTTGTTTGTAACCAATCAGTTTAGAGAGTTAGAAAGCCCGGTAACTTCAGATCTAGTTTGTTGTTCTGATTGGAGAACAAAGTGCAAAGTATTAGCATTTTATGGTTCTTTGTCCTGAGCAAAAAGAAGAAGTTAGTCTTCGCTCCCTTCTGCCATGTTCTGTCTAGCTGTAAGGATGTAGGAATATTAGATCTTTGTTATTTTACATCCCGTGTACCTTTTCCCCATGCTAGGTTGCAGTAAACTTTTATCTTTTAAACACACCATGGACTCTGCCTCTTTAATACTCTGCTGATTACTCTGCTGATTCACTTTAAAATTAATAATACCCAACAAATAGAGCAAACTGTAGTTTCTTGTAATTTATCTTTACTTATTTCTGTCTATGTATAGTTGTTATACCAGCTATGAAATCGTGACCAAGGGTTCTGAAATGTAGAGTCCAGGAGACCTTTTATCAATAAAGTCAGTTTGTCCATTTCCACTACCTCTAAAACTTTATTTATGTTGAGTTTCAAGCCAACTTTTGTGCTGTCTTTCACTCTGAGCAAGAAGCTCTTTAGGTCCTCTTCACTTTCTGCAATTAGAGTGGTATCGTCTGCATATCTGAGGTTGTTGATCTTTTCCCCAGCAAACTTAATTCTGGTTTGTGATTCATCCAGGCCAGCATTTTGTATGATGTACTCTGCATATACATTAAATATGCAGGGTGACAATATACATCCTTGTTGTACTCCTTTTCCTATGCTAAACCAATCAGTTTTTCCATATCCGGTTCTAACTGTCGCTTCGTGACCCTTATACAGGTTTCTCAGGAGACACGTGAGGTTTCTCTGGTCCTCCCATCTCTTTAATGACTTGCATGGACACACACACACACACACACACACAAATATACACAAAGATACATGCATGCACATGCAAAAAGAAATGCAAGCAAACAAATTGGGGGCTCTTGCTTGAGGCCAAAGGGCAACGACCTTGCACCAAGTAACAAAATGCACGACCCACGATGAACTTTTTCTGGGCAAGATCTGCATTTGTCTGAATGGGGTCTGGGCAAGAAAACTCCCAGGTGGGTGTCCAGGGAATGAGCTTTCTTGGAGTAGAATCCCAGGTCCATGATTTTCTGTTCTGTTCTCTGCTCAGTGGATCCCAGGTGGCAGCAACAGGTGAGAGCAGCTTCCCCAACCCCCCAACACTGACCACCACCCGCTCAAGACTGCTTTGCAGGAATCCAACAACCCTCCTATTTAATGTGCTGGTTTCACCTATAAGAGCTGCAAGCGGGGGAAGGTTTGCTCCCCTTCCTGAAAGCTCCCTTGGGATAGGGTCCTGATTGGTTGAAGAAGGCCAGTGGCCAGTTTCCTTTAACTGTAGACTAGGCTGCTAGACTCCCTAACCCTTTTGCTTTACCTGCCACCTGAGAGTCAGTTTGGTGTAGTGGTTAAGAACATGGACTCTAATCTGGGAGAACCGGGTTTGATTCCCCACTCCTCCACATGCACCTGCTGGTCTGACCTTGACTCAGTCACAAGTTATTTCAGAGCTGTTCTCTCAAGGGCAGTTTTCAAAGAGCTCTCTCAGCCCCACCTACATCACACGGTGTCTGTTGTGGGGGGGAAGGAAATTAGATTTGTAAGCCACTACCTTGAGGTAGTGAAGGGTGGGGTATAAATCCAGTCTTTCCTTCTTCTACCTTTGCCTCTGCCATATAATTTTGCCTTTTGGCTGATGCTGCTTGACTTTGAACTGAAACTGTCAGTGCCTGAAGAACTTGACGTCTATGCTGTGGAAACCTTCATTAAGTGGATTTAGGAAATGAGCTTTGTTTTTATGTGCTTTGAACACTCACTGGAACTGTGTTGTTTTTGAATAGTTTTAAACCTCCCCCCCCCCAATACTGGGCTTTAGAAATAGCTGCAGAAATCCAACAGGTGTAGCTTTGCTACGAAAATGAGTGATTTATCGAGGTGACAAACACCCCTTCTTCTGGGCTCTGATTTCTTATACATACATGCATCACAAATAGCACCAAGACTCCATAAATAAAAGATAAAGATGACAAATGAACTGTTAACATACAATAACACAAATATTAACTTTCCAACGTTGCATGCAGGGATAGGAATTCAGTTTTTCATGGTACGTATAAGGAAGAAAGCATCACCAGGTGAATTCCTGGAGGAGGAGATTGGATTTATACCCCGCCCTTCACCACCCAAAGGAGTCTCAGAGCCGCCTACAAACTCCTTTCCCCTCCCCTCCCCACAACAGACACTCTGTGAGGTAGGTGAGGCTGAGGAGAGCTCTGACAGAAATGGCTCTTTTTCAAGAACAGCTCTGCCATAACTATGGCTTGCCC